CAGTACAGCTAGATGGTGCCCGGCTACCACCACTGACTGCTCTGACCAGGATCACAACAGAGGGTTCTGGACAGAGCTGGAGAAGGATGTAGAACATAATTCTAACTCACAAAAAGAAGACCAGATTTACTGGCCTAAAGGGGACTGGAGAAACCCTGAGAATATGGCCCCCAGACATCCTTTTAGCTCAGTGGTGAATTTATCTCCGAGGTTCACTGTTCAGCCTGGGAGTGGACAGCCCCGTAAAACCAAATGGGACTAATGAGGTACAGTAGTCCAGTGACAAGGGCCAGAAGGCAGAAGGGGACAAGGAAGCTGGTGATAGTGAACCCAAGGTTGAGTAAGGATACTGTTGATGTGTTGTGAGATTGTTAAACATTGTCATAGGGCAACATGTGTAGTAACTGTTAAATGAGAAACTGTTTTGTTCTGTAAGCCTTCATCTTAAGTGAGAATAGCAGCACAATTGGAAGAGCGTAGTCAATGCCACTGAACTGTGCATGTAGAAATTTTTGAAATGGTATATCTTTGGCTATGTGTATTTTCACCAAAAAAAAAGGTTGAGAAGTTAGAGGGTTGACATGTTGTGGGGTTGTTAACCAATGTCATAAAACAATATGTGTACTACTGTTTCATGAGAAACTATTTGTTCTGTAAGCCTCCACCTGAAGTACATTTAAAAAAAAAAATACGGCTGTTTTTTGTAATAGAAGAGAGTTCGGAGAGAAGTCAAATAGGATGACCCTAAGTTGGTGTAGTTATTATGGTCCTGGATATGGTCTTCAGCTTTGCAGTTCTAGAAATGTGATTTTGTCAGTGTACAGAAAAGTATTCCTGTTTCATCACACAAAATCAAACTCACAGAAAGTTAATGTATACAATAGAATGCCAGTGAATTAATTTACACTCAAAGCCACCAAGTGGACTGGATTCTCCCTCTTGTTGGGAGATCTATGTAGGATGATCATTTGTAATCAGAAAGTTACAAGAGGAGTATGGATCTTGAGCATGGCTATTGCTATCAAGCTATGATAGCTGACACATAATAGGAGCTCAGTAAACATTTGTGGAATGAATGTGCTTGTTTTCATTATAGATGCAAAGTTTAAGTTCAGGATTCTGGTAGGCCAACCCAATGTATTTTTTAATCAGGCAGATTTTTCATTGTTCCTCAAGTCATATTCTTAAATGGCTGTATCGTGTAGATATTAAACCTAATAAGATTTCATGTCAGGGAGTTATGTAATTGCAACAACTAAGTTTTTTCTATCATCTCTGAGCCTAGAAATTGGGACCATTCATTTACAAAAGATTGGAGATTGTTGTCCCATGCCCTGTAGGAGTAGTGATGGTGGTATGGCTGAATGATCTGTATTACAGAATTCTACCATTTGGTGGCCAGTAGTGTACTGCATATAAAAAAATGACCTTGAGTGGCCCTCAGTGCTTGTACTTTGCTAGAGTGGGACATCTTAATTAGGGAGGTATCTGAGCCACCTGTGACCTGGCGAGCTTTTGGGGACTGCATTATGGTGACGAATATTGCTCTGAATTTATCCCGGTCCCTAAACACCTCTCCCTCCTCCCCATCCCAGGAGATAATTCTTGATACTGCTTTTAAAGATAGACAAAGGGATGAGCCTTTTCAAATTCTAAAATCACTAGGAAGAAGATGGATCCGGAAAAACTTGGATAAGTCGTATCTGGAAGCCAGAAGACACTTTGTCAGCTCAAGGCTTTTTCTAGCTCTAGGATAAGCTATTGAGACAGAGGAAGAGATGCCAGGTTGAGGAGTTTCATTTAGTATTTTAATAATAATAATAATAATAAAAGACAATACAAAATCCGAACATTTCTTTTTACAAGTTCAGATACATATTTTTCCCCAAGTGCAAAATATTCTATGAACTGTATCATTTGCTGTTTATTGTTGATTGTATAGATGTTTACTATGTCGTCAGTGGTGGAAGGCAGATATAAATACAGTATTTTGAGATTTCTTCTGCATTAAAAAAAAAAAGCCTCCCACATGGTGATGATGATTCTCTGAAATTTCAGTTCAACTCTCACAGAATAAAATTTTCAGTTTGTTCAAACTGCTACAGCCTGTGTTGTCTAGATAAGCTGATTAACAGAAGTGGGGGTTCTAGTCCCTCTAATTATATATTTTCTTAAAGGAATCCTAGTCCAAATAATGGCCCAAGGACAGGGTGTGTTACCTTTGAGACAGGTCAAATCTAAAGATACCCTTGTGTTTGCTTTCACTTTTCTCTTACTGTGCTTAAGAAGGAAACCAGGCAGGTTAACATTATTTTCTGCTTATGGTCAGTTACACTGTGTCTCCCTTCCCCTAGTTAGGCTGTTATATTGAGGTTAAGCAGCAAATACAAACGTTTGAATGCTTTATAACATTTCTGACATTTTGAGACATGACCTCCTAATCCCCTCCAGTCACCCCAAACATGGAGAACATTTCTTAGATTTAAAAAGTTTCATGAGGGCCAAAGGCCAGGACTGTATTACTGAACTTTCAGCAACAAATCTGAGCCACCACTTCAAACTGACCAAATCCTGGGGAAATCACAGCAGGCATAGCTCAATGTTAGCATTCAGGGATTTCTAGATGTGGGGTGGGCAGCTCAAGTCTAGGCTTTGCTTAGTTTTCTCCTGACTCAGTTCTCTCAAGTTTAGGGAATAGGCCTGGCCTGATAATACAGAAAGAAGGGGGCAGAGAAGCAAAGGGATAAGCAGGTTGCTAAGGATATAAGTACCTTCCTGATATGTATCATCTGGCGCTTGGAGCCATTGGGTAATGGCTTCCCATTGCGACTCAGATCAGGGCAGGTTTTGCAGTAAAATGAATGAGGCCCCATAGCACTATGACCCATGAGTACCCCATCCTGCAGAGAGGCCTCTGGGCTGGTTCATGAAGAGTTCCCATTTACACCATTTTCCCACCTTCCCTACACTGGTAAAATACCTCCTATTCTCTCTGGCCTGTAAAGGCCTAGAGACTCCCTGAGTGTTGATTCCTCATTTCCAGTCCACTTAGCCCTGAGTTTGATGCCCCAGGGCTAGCTTCCTCCATGGGTTCAGCAGAAACTGTTTGGTTTAACCCCCAATTTGGATGATCCGAATTAAACTCGGTGTACAACATCAGGTCTTCACCTGCTTACCAAGATCTGTCTTAAGAAGCCTAGTAGTCTTTACTTTCCATACTGTGGAAATCATTTGCAGAAATGACCGGAAGAAGTGTGTTTATGTGTATGTGTGGGCTGACAGGAAAGGGAGGCAAAGAAGCCAGACCTTGAAGGCATAAATTGAGAAGCACCTTGTTTGGCCTTCCAAAAGAGGTATGAAATGGCAGAGAGGAAACAGAAATCCCAGTGCCTGGTAGAAAAAGTTGATTAAAGCAGTTTTCATGGCACTTTCTGGGACGTGCAGACACTCCTACCAAACAACCATTTCCCTTGTTTGGAAGCAGCCATTTTGCATCTTTATAGCAGAACTCTGACCCAGAGAGACAAAGGCAGCCAGATAACAAGCTACAACCCCAAGGGTCGTAGTGTTGGCTAATGATGTGAGAGGATCTAGCTGTGACATTAGTTACCCACTAACGCCGTTTTGGCTGGTGAATGCTACTCAAGAGAGGGTGGGTTGGGGTCAGGCTCCTTTATTTAGTGTTGAGTTTCTTGGGAGAACAGTAGCCTGGGACAGTCACCAAGAAATGAACTCTTAAGAGTCAAGTGGTAGCCTTTGATTGACTAAGACTACAGCTTTGAGGGAACTGGAAGGAGGAGATGGAAAGTGATTTCATAGGCAGCAGCTGGATTGAGGGTGGAGTGTGTGCAGCATCTGGGATTAGGCATGAACTTGATTCTTCTCTTGGAAAAGCAGTAGTTGAGGAAGCTAGGCGTGAAGTCAATTCCGAGAGGGAATGTCAGACAGGTAAGGTATAGGCAGAGTGGCCAAAGTCAGGCAAACACCTAGTGCCTTCAACTTCATACCTGGGTAACTGTCCTATTCTTGGCTTCCACAGCCTTGTCTCTGGCCTCAAGGCCCTGAGACACCCCATCTCCAGGTGGCTTCTCCTGATCCTCTTCCATTGTAGGCTGGAGAAGTGCACATCAGGAGAAAAAAGGATGAAGAAGGGAAAAGATGGAGGTTTTCCCTACTTGGGGTGGAAAATTTCTGACCAGTTCCATTGGCCTCCACAGTCACGAGGTCCATGTTGAGTCCATGGAGAGACATAGGGATGGCAGGATTGGTTTAGCAAACACAGGTCTCTCTCCTTCCTGCTCCATCAAGTCCCAGAATTCCTGTCTTACACATCAGGTGCCTTGGAGCTATAGCCCTGGGTTACCCCAGCTGAGGGCCCTAGAGGTCTGGGTGGCCACTGGTGGAGGAGTAAGAGACCGGTGCTTCAGCACTCAAGGTTCATGGGATTCAAAACCTTTTTTCTTCCACTCCAAACACACACACTTCTCTCTTGGGCAGCTATAAATAGGGTTGTTCTAATAGAGGAAAAAACAAAACAATAACAAAAAACCAGAAAACAAAAATCCCTCCATCTAGACAACATAGAATTACTCAAAATGATTGCACTTATTAGATGTGGACAAGGTGGGCAGAAGGCTCGCCAAGTGCACACACATTCCTCTTGCTGCCCATGGCCTGGGGCCAGAGGTAGGCGGCTCTAGGCTGGCTGCCGAGTGGGGTCCTCTTTGGTGGAGCCCACAAGCCACCTGGGGTTACAAGGGAAAGACAACTGTGGGGCGAGGCCCAAGCTGGCTTCCGGTCAGCAGCCATGTTTCTTCAAGGACAGCACTTAGCAAGGGGAGTAGGGCTCCCCTAGGGAGCACTTGGGCTGGGGTGAGGGGGTGGCTGGGCCAAGGAAGACAAGTAGGAAAAGAGATTAGTGTTTGAGGCTGGCTTCCAATTGTTCTTGTAGTCTAGTGCTTTAGATACGTTTTCTTTTCTTTCCTTCTTTTTTTTTGGTGATGCTTTAAAACCTGGTTTCTGTTGTTCAGCGCGCTATAGTCTTTCTCTCGGAGAGCCACAGCGGCACATTCACCGTGGTAAATGCCTGCTGCTCTTCCTCATTCAGCCAGTGTCCACTAGCCCAGTGGTGTGGGTCATCTGTAAGCCCTTATGGAGTAGGCCCCAGGCACACATGTGGGGAAGGAAGAAGATTTGCTGTACAGACAAGAAGGCTAACTGTGGGTGGTCCAGGACTCAAGCCATGTGCTCCAGAGGTGCCGGCATTAAGCCTGTAAGTCAAAGGCTTCTTTGGCAGGAGTCTGGACTGTTAGAATCACCCTGGGGGACATAGCCAGGGGACGTTTTGGCTCCTGACTAGCAAGGCACAACCCTATAATGGCAGCAGCCCCCTTGTCCCCCTCCCCATCCCCCACAAGACCCACTTCCTTCATGGGCCTCCCGCACCCTTCTAAGCTGATGGGGCTAGCGATGTGAGCTGGTGAAATGGGCAGTTTGGTTGGGGAGGAGGTACTGTTCTTTCACCCCTCAGGGGGAATAGAGCCAGCACTGAATGGCTTTCCCAGGGAGTGTGTAGGAAAAAGGAAAACAGCAGACAGAGAGAGAGAGAAAAAAAGAGGCAGAGAGAGACAAGGAGAGGAAACTAGAGACAGAAAGGGAGAGTGCCTGGTCTGTAGAGTGATTTTTTTCTTCTTTAAAAAGAGAGAGAAGAGAATTCCTTGTCTGTGGGTGGGGGCTGCCAGCTCTGAGGGCTAAGGAGTCTGGGAGCTTCAAAACTGGGATCTCTGGGTCAGGGACACTATTTGTAGGGCCTCAGGAAGCTGGAAACTTTGGAGCGGAGCAGTTTGATGAAGGATTTTGGCAGCATCTCCTTGTGCTTCTCTGTGTATTTGAAGTAGTTCTGGGGGTGGGCCAGCACCTCAAAGAAGGCCTTGATGAGCTTCTTGTCCTGCAGAGAATGGTAGTGGCAAAGTCAGATGCAGTGTTGGTGGGGGGTGGGGGGAGGGGAGAGGAACACCAGCCTCAACTGAACATCCCCTCTTGATGGGTAATAGGCATCTCAAACCGAACATATCCAGAGGTGAACTCTGGATTCCCATCCCCACCACCTGCTCTTTCTTTAAATCATATAACTCAGTCACTGCTCCCTTTTTCCATTGTTCAGGCCTCAGTATTTGGAGTCATCCTTCACTCTTCTCTTTTATTCACAGCCACAGCAAATCTTGTCAACTCCACCTTCAAAATATATCCAGGCTCTGACCACTTCTCACCATTTCCACACCTACCACCCTGGTCCAGCCCACGGTCATCTCTGACTCGGACTTTTGCGACAGCCTCCTAACTGGTTTCCATGCTTCTACTCTTGCCCCTCTACAGACTGTTCTGCCCCACAGCAGCCAATGTGAGGTTTTTGGTTTTTAAATCAGATCATCTCTATCTGTTCAAAACACTTCTCTGGTTTCTTGTATCACTGAGAGTAAAGCCAGAGTCCCTTCCTAAGACCCTAGGCTGGATATGATCTGTCCTCTGCTGCCTCTCCTACTAGCCCCCCTCCAGTCCCCTTTCACTCCACTGAGCCACACTGGCCTTCTCCCTGTTCTTTTTTTTTTCTTTCAGATTTTCTATATCCTTATTTTTTGTTCTTTTTTTATTGTACTTTAGATGAAGGTTTACAGGACAAATAGTTTCTCATTAAACAGTACACATATTGTTTTATGACAATGGTTAACAACCCCACAACATGTCAACACTGTCCCTTCTCAACCATGGGTTTCTATTACCGGCTTTCCTGTCTCCTCCAGCCTGCTCGTCCTTGCCTTGGGCTGGTGTGCCCCTTTAGTCTCATTTTGTTTTATGGGTCTGTCTAATCTTTGGCTGAAGGGTGAACCTCAGGAGTGACTTCGTTACTGAGCTAAAAGGGTGTCCGGGGACTGTACTCTCGGGGTTTCTCTAGTCTCTGTCAGGCCAGTAAGTCCGGCTTTTTGTTTGTTTGTTTATTGTTGTAGTTTAAATGAAGTTTACATTTCAAATTAGTCTCCCATACAAAAATGTATACATACATTGTTATGTGACCCTAATTGCTCTCCCCATACTGTGACAGCACACTCCTCCTTTCCACCCGATTCCCCACGTCCATTCAACCAGCTCCAAACCCTCTCTGCCTTCCCAGCTCACCTCCGGACAGAAGCTGCCCATTTAGTCTCTTGTATCTACTTAAGCTAAGAGGCACACTCCTCACGAGTATCACTTTACATCCCACAGTCCAGTCCAATCCCTGTCTGAAGAGTTGGCCTTGGAAATTGTTTTAGTTCTGGGCTGATAGAGAATCCGGAGGCCATGCTTTCCGGGGTTCCTCCAGTCTCAGTCAGACCATTAAGTCTGGTCTTATTAGAGCTTGAGTTCTGCACCCCACCTTTCTTCTGCTCCATCAGGGTCTCTCTGTTGTGTTCCCAGTCAGGGCAGTCATTGGTGGTAGCTGGGCACCATCTAGTTCTGGTCTCAGCCTGATGAAGTCTCTGGTTTATGTGGCCCTTGCTGTCTCTTGGGCTAATCCTTCCCTTGTATCTTTGGTGTTCTTCATTCTCCTTTACTCGAGGTGGTTGGGACAAATTGATGCATCTTAGATGGCTGCTTGCAAGCTTTTAAGACCCCAGACACCAGTCACCAAAGTAGGATGTAGAACATTTTCTTAATAAGCTTTGTTATGCCAATTGACCTAGATATCCCCCAAAAGCATGATCCCCAGACACCTACCCTTGCTGCTCTGTCCCTCAAAGTGTTTGACTGTATTCAGGAAACTTCTTAGCTTTGGTTTAGTCCA